CGTCCCCTGTCCATTGGAAGGCAGGTCTGGAAGCTCTTAGCCCAGCATCAAACTGAGTACACTAGGAGAAGCTGGGAGGAGGGGAAGGGGACAGAGCAAGCGAAGACAAAAGGCCTCCTTGCTATGGCAAGAAATTGCATTTTATTTATATATGTTATGTCTCACTGCTCAGCAACCAGGCGCGGGCGGGGAGGAGAGGGTCTCCCGCTGCAGTGGCCTAGGGTGACTCATCCCTGCACACTGTCTGGCCTCTGGCCCTAGGTTAGCAGACTCATGTGTCAATGCCAGTGTGGACCGCCGGCTCTCTGGGTTGTAGAATGCCAAGGCTTGGCACAGCACTGGCTCATAGCGTCTCACCTTAGCAGGAGACAGGGCTCCTGGTTCTGCCACCTTCCCGCTGTGTAGCCTTGGGCAAGTCATTTCATGGTCTCTTGCTTCTGCCTGCTCCTTTTACAGAAGAGTGTGAGATGACCTGAGAGTGAGTCCTTGTTGAGGGCTGACAGGCCTAATTCATTATCCTGCTGTCACAGCTGTCCTCCCTTCTCCCAAATTGTCAAGGCCTGGGACTTAGCTCAGTGGTGCTGCCACCTGCCTCGCAAGGTCCAGAGTTTGATCTCCACTACCAACAAAAAAAAAGCATGCCAAATCACCAGATGACTTGGAAGAAGCAGAATTTAAGCCGAGTCTACGTGTCAGCACCCTGTCTTTTTTTATTTTTTTCCTCCAGTACTTGGGATTGAACCCAGGACTTTTGTACTGAACTGCATCTCTAGTTCTGTTTGCTTATTGAGACAGGGTCTCACTAAGTGGCAAAATTGCTCAAGCAGGGCTAGAACTTGTGACTCTCCTGCCTCGGCCTCGTGCTGCATTACAGGCACAGGAACCACCTTTGTGTCTTTTTATAGTAACACTTTGTCTCTTGCACTTGAAGTGCCTGCCCCAATTCCAGGGTTCAGGAATGTGAGTTCCTGGGCTCATCCTAATGGGTTTCTGCAGGGCAGTCCCTCACAGGGCGGATGGAAATTCCTCTCTGACGTCAGGGCCCTGTGTTCCTGTTAGGCGCTGGAAGGGCCCACCCGGCACAGGTGGGTGCAGCTGCCTTCCCGCCTCAGCCTGCCCACTGGCGCTGTTGGCCTCTCACTGGCAACACCAGTTTCCCTACAGTATGGTGAGTCACCCAACCGGGAGTCTTCGGAGCACAGCACAGCTTCACATTTTGACTAGTTTCCTTATGGCCACGAGAATCTTAGTTTGGATCCGTTTAATGGGTCGGCATCTGGCCCTGTTATGCCCCTGCTTGGAGTATTTCAGTGGCTCCCCACCGCTTTACAGATCTAGTGTTCTTTTCGGTGCTGAGAGTAGCACATAGCCCTCCACCACCAAGCCACACCTGACCTCGGAGGGCACTGTGGCAGCCAAACAAAACCTCTCTGTGTAACCTCGTGTCTCCAACCCTTTTGTCATTCTCATCACCCTGCCCCCAGGCCCCACGTCGTCGGGGGGGCCCTTGGGTCCCCTGCAGAATGCATGTCCTCGCCTGCTCATCCACAGGCCCCATGCCAAGCTCTCCCAGGAACTGGGCTCCACCAGGCTGGCTCAAGCCTGCCTTCTCCTCCACCAGTGCTCAGCACTGCACTGGCGGTGTCTTGGGCTCCCTGCCACGGCGGGGGGTGGGGGGCGTCCTCACGTCTCCAGTTAGTGAGGAGGGAACTGAGGCTCAGGAAGTGACTCTCCTAAGGTCACTGTGCAGTGTTTCATGCTGCTACGGTAGGACACTTGCATCTAACATTGTACAAGAATGGAAGTTAACTGGCCTTATGATTTTGGCTGCGGGTCTAGGGCCACATCTGGCCACGGCCATCTTGCTGGTGGCACCAGACAGCACATAGCAAGAAACAGGGTGGACACTGCATATCCGTCCGTCCCCTTCTCCGCCTTAATGACTAAGCCTAATCACCTCCAGAGGTTCCACCTCTACACACCGCCGTCAGTTAAGTTTCCACTCTCTTCCGACTGCACAGTGAGGACTGGATTTCACTACGTGAAGCTCTGGGGCTCACACCAGCCCACAGCAGTCACAGTGCCTCTCTCCTTGATGCCCCACAGGCCCCACTGCACTCGCCTCCCCCGGGGCTGCTCCTGCCTGACCCCCACGGGACTGTGGACGCCTGGAGGGCAGCCCCACCCCAACCCCGCCCTGCGGGTTTTCATCTTTCTGGCGTCTGTCTAGTTCTAGTACAGGTGTTGGAGGGGCATATGGACGAATGGACACCTGGCAGACGGGGACAGAATACTCAGTGCACTTCAGAGAGGCCAAGGCTTCTACCTCAAGGATTGCAGCTACTGACAAAGAGTATTGTCAGGTTCAGCTCTGCTACCCTCTCTACCTTTTCCTCCAGCTCTTGACTCTTTTTAAGAAATCAACCCAGTATGTGTCTCGGCAGTGTCGGACTTGCCTAGCACGTGTGAGGCCTGTGTTAGATCCCCAGTGCCACACAAAAATTTTTTTAAGTAAATTTTAAAAATCACCCCTTATTATTTCAACCCATTCCTCCCCAATAAAATATAAAACCAAAAATGTAGCATTGTTTTAAAGTTCATTAGTGTATGCTAAAAAGTACAGGATTTGGACATTCACTCCCATTGTTAGGACCTCAGTTTCCCCATTTATATAATAAAAGGTTGGGCCATTTTTCAAAAGGAAGGTCCTGATTCTTTCATCAGTAGGCTGTGAAATGAAACTAGTAAGAAATAAACTATATAGGATAAAAAGAGTATCCATCGTGGCTGTGTTAAACCATTTCACATGTAAGTAAAAGCAGGACATTTGGCCCTTGGGGGGGTAACAGCGTCACACAAAGCCCATGAGCACAGTTGTGAAATTTTATGGAAGTCCAGTGGGTGTCTGTCTAGTAGGTCACAGTGAAAGGTATGTGTGGACAGCAAGCAGGAGAGGCTGACTGTGCGTCACCGTCTCTGCTGCCCCCTGCCCTGAGGCCCCGCTCAGAGACCTGTGTGACGCAGACACCCCTGCGCCCTAACTGTGCTCACAGTTCTTCCATCTGAGAAAAGGGAACAGTACTTGTGGACAGTTAGTGAAAAAATAGAAGAGACCTTTCCTCTTTTTATTACTCTGGTACACTTTTTTTAAACATGGGTGTTTATGATGAAAACAAAACACACCTGAAAGTCCTCTCTTTGCAGCTCCAGGCCCATCTCGCACCCTGTGCCAGACCTAGGCTGTCCGTGCTGGGAGGCCATGCTCCTTCGTGCTCCTGCCTGGGGACTGACCCCAGAGTGGCCCTGCACCCTGCAGGGCGCTGCCCCCTGCCAGCCTACTTCCTGCAGCCCACTTCCTGAGTGGGCTATAACTCAAAAATAAAAGAAACATCCAGGAATCCCTAGAGACATAAAATTCTGGAGTACATAAACAGGGAAATCAGTTTTTAAAATAGAATTCCAATGAATAAATGTGGAAAGTAATGTAAATAGAAAATCCACATTTGGTAAAAACCATAGTAGTAATTATTGCAAGCAATAATCATCAGCATGTGTTAAAATCAGTGGACACAATTATGATGAGAAACAGGATACTTAGGCCAGGTGTGGTGGCACAGGTCTGTTATACCAGCACTTGAGAGGCTGAGGCAGAAAGATCGCCTCAAGTTCAATGCCAGCCTGAACTACATAGACCCTCAAAAAAAAGTTATATAGACTCTTCCCATAGGATATTAATTACAGGGGGGAAACAATAACTGTACAGTGGAGAGACCAGGGAGACACCACTCTAACCAAAGGACCAAAGGAAACACCCATCAACCTCACCTATCCTGAACCGGTTTCTGGAGAAGAACATGTCATCACTTCCATTGCATCCTTGCAAATGCATACTCTTGTCTTTTTTTTTTTTTTATTTAATTTATTGGTACATTCTAGGTAGACAGTACAGTTACATTCATTACTGGGATCTTGTACCTTTACATGCTCTCTTGTCTTAATTATGAGACAAATTATCTAATTATCAGACAAATCCAAAGTGAGGAATATTTTTTCAGAATGACTGGCCAGTCCTTCCGTGACAGCAAAGCCTAAACTCGCCCTGAGTGAAGGAGACAACGGCCATGTGGGATGACAAATGGCAGCACCCTGGGCTGGACACAGGACACGAGAGGAGCCCACAGACAATGACAGGGAGAGGCACAGGGCCCAGCAGGGGCCACTCTGTCCTCCCCAGCTGCCCTTGTGGTCCAGCAACTCTGGTTGCACCTCTTGACCCTTTTTCACATTGTCTTTTTTTGCGGGGGGCACCGGGGATGGAACTCAGGTCCTTGCACTTGCAAGGCAGTCACAAGGGCCACTGAGCTACATCCCTGGCCCTCACATTGTCTTTTGTGGCTGGCTTTGTCCTCAGCCACTTCCTTTCTGATGGCCAAGGGGCTGCGGAACTTTCAGTCTCCTAGTCTGCCTGCTGTACTGGAGGACAGTGATGCTTTCCTGGTGATTCTCTAGTTAAAGAATAAGAACTCTTTTTTTTTTTCCATCTGCAGAAGGCTCTAGACTTATCCTTGTGTCCCATCAGCCTGAATTTAATTGCGAGCCCATTCCTAAAGTGATCTATGGGTTAGTGATCCATGCACAGATTGGCAAAAACAATGGGATCCCTCTCTGGTATATCAAATTCCACAACCCCCATTCAGGAACTAGAGGCAAGGGGCTGTGCAGGGGTCCACTTCCCTGCGGCGCATGTGGAGGGTGGGTGCCTGAACAAACTCGGGGTGCTGTTAAGGACATGGAGAGAATAAATGTGTAAGAAACAGGGTTCACGACTCTGGTGGTGGTGGCTCAGTGGTAGAGAGCTTACCTAGCATGCGTGTGACCCTGGCTTCAAATTACCACACACACACACACACACAAAGTATTACTCTGGGCTGGGTATGATGGTACACACCTGCAATCCGAATCTGAGAAGCTGAGACAGGAGGAGCACTGCCAGTGTGAGGCCAGCCTGGACTGCACAGCGAGACCTTGTGTCCAAAAAACAAAAACAGAAACGGAAACACAAGTCCAAGCAGCATCTGCTGGAGTTTCCGTGGAGCAGAGAGCATGCCTGCTGGCAAGCACGGGCTTTCTGTCCAGCCTGATGGTTGAATTTCCTACCGTCAGTGAGCCAAAGGGCACGGATTTGCTTGTGCGTGCAGCAGCCTCTCGGGTCTGATTAGGACCAGCCAGGCCACATCGGGAACCCAGACTGCCTCGGATTTCTCACTCACAGAGAGGGCTTCACAGTGGCAGCTGGCAGCATGCAGATGACCCGTTTCACCCGCTCCTCCAGGGAAGCCCAGTCCCACGGAGGCGGAGGCGAGACTCAATTGTGCCCTAAGGCCTGTGAGATTAAAGGCGCTCTCCTCTCATTTCTGCTGCGTTGTGTTCTTCTCTGGCTTTCTTAGTATCTTCTCCAGGACAGAGTCCAACTTCTGTCTAATTACTTTGGGATCTGGTGTGTTTTCTCCCCAAAGAACTGTCATTGCTGTGTGTATAGGGACCAGATGGCCCCGGCCACAGCTGCTGTGAAGATGTCCAGTCCTGCCAGGAGGTCCTGCAGCTGTGGACCGGGTGCTGCTAAACTGTGTCAGAGGGGACAGCCTGCAGAAGCACAAATACCTTTCCACCTCACAGTTCTGACAGCAACGTCAGTGGCCACAGCGCCGTTGGGGATTCCTCGGCCTGTCCCACTGCCAGGGAAGCTCTGAGGCTGGCTGGCCACACCTGGAGGTGTCCAGTGGGAGAAGAGTGTCTCTTTTGTCCCTGAAATGTTTTTGTACTGAAATGTTTAGGTCCTGTGTGTGTGATGTGTGTGACCACAGTTTAAACACCAACAACCTAGAGCTTTGTGCACGCTAACCAGGCCAGGAAGCCTTGTTTTTGTTTTTTGTTTGAAAAGCACTGCCTTAGCCGCAATGTAGGCTCTAAAGTGGACCCTAACCTGGGTCACCGAGACCGAACGAAGGAGGAAGGGAGCCATCAAGGTTCAGGAGCAGCGGGAATAACAGGGCAGGCCTGACTTCCAGAAGGGCCCTCGCAAACTGGCAGGTTCACGAGCAAGCTCTTCCTCGCCCTCCTCCCACGCCCCGTCTGTGCTCCTCCCTGCCGGGCCAGACCGGGCCCCAGGCGTGAATCACAGCGGACTCAGGCGGGGCGCGGTGTGTGGGCCTCCAGCCAGGCCTGGACCAAGTTTTGGGCCGCGCCAGCGTTTTGGAGGGAAGATGAGCCGTGTATTCAAGAGGGCAGCTTGAGGGCTCCAGCTCCTGACACGACAGCCTCTCCGGACCAAAAACAAAAGTGCAGCGTGGTATGTTAAAGAAATTACGCGCGTGTATATTACTGCTTTAACAATGAAAATAAAATACCACTTAAGATCATATATATTAGATGTGTTAAAATACGAAAAATAGGTGTTTACGTGAAATTGCTTTTCTGCTACATAAATGCCATTATTTAATATGAATTAATAGGGGGTTGATGGTACAGCTCAGTGGTAGAGCACTCGTGCCACATGCACCAGGCCATCGGTTCCCTCCCCAACACTGAAAAATAATAATAATTAATAGGACAAATGATATGTGTGACCAAAAGTTTTCTGTTTCTTCCTGTCCTGTGATACTGCAGTTTCAGTGTTTGGAGTTTGTTTTCCACCGGAGGTCAAACTGGGGTCCTTGCGCTTGCAAGGCAGGTGGCAGAACCACTGAGCTACATCCCCAGCCATGATACTGCAATTTAAAAAATTCATTATTAGATACTTAAACTTTGCATTATGACACCTAAATAGAAGACCTTTTAAAAGGAGAATGAAAACATAATAGGATTAAAGTAGCATTACCAGTACTTAATAATGCCATTCTGTCCCACGTACTTGTCCTGTGTCCTTGCCCGTAGCCTTTAGGAAGCCCTTCTTTAATGAGGATCAGCTTGATGCCATCTCATGAAGTCCTCCCACCCACAGCTCGGTTCCTGTAGGCCCACAACCCGCCCATTCCTGGGATCAGTCCAATGTGATAGCAGTTCGCTAGTTTTCCCAGTAAAAGCATTTGGGTGTGGAATACCCAGGATTTTACTCACTAGCAGCAGCAGGCTTTAGGTTTGTAAGAATTCGTCTCCAGCTCTCCAGAAGTGTCCACTCATTTGTGTGCAAAGGCTGATTCTAGTAAAGCAGCTGTGGGAATGTTGTTTTTAAAAGTTCATCAAGCAGGACACCCATGTCTGATACGTCTAACCTTTTAAACATTTCAGAACACTCCAGATGTCACAGGTTAAACCTCTCTCTTCCACTTAGGGAAACTAGTTTGAAGGTACAGAGATCAACTTGGCATGGTGGCTATGACTGCAATCCCAGCACTCTGGGAGACTGAGGCAGGATGATCAGAAATTTGAGTCCAAACTGGCAATTTGGTGACTCAGCAAAACCTTATTTCCAAATTTAAAAAAGGGCTGATGAGCCAGGCCTGGTCCCACACTCCTGTAATCCCAGCTCTTGGTAGGAGGATCACTGTGAGTTCCACATAGTGAGTTCCAGGCCAGCCTGAACTACATAGGGAGAACCTATCTCCAAAACCCAAAATAAATAAGTAAGTATATAAAATAAGAAGGGCTGGTGATTCAGCTCATTGCAAAGGCTCTAGATTCAATCTTCAGTACTTCGAAAATGAAGGCAGGGAGAGAGGGTGAGAAGGGAGGGAATCCAGCCTGGGAAATATCTATTTAGTGAGACCCTGTCTCACAACAAGAAATGAAAAAGTGGATGGAATGTAGCTTGGCTCAGAGACCCTGGGTTCAATCCTGAGTACAAGCGGGGGGCGGAATGCAGAAGTCACTTGTACTTGTGAAACTGAAGTTGGACTGCAAATAAATTATAGGAAGAGAAGGTTCTGTTTCAATTGGTCATTGTGTTCTGGTGCTTTGTTGTTTCCAAAAAGTGAGTCAGTTTGCATTTTATGGGATTTTGCCATTACCCTCACAGAACGTGGAGCAGATCAGGTACAGTCAGTCCACCCTTTTACACAGTCCTCTGGCCTTCTCCAAGGTCACCAAGCAGTGCTGGACCATGCTGCAGTCTGGGTAACTTATTTATCTGTGGGTTGGTTTTTTTGTTTGTTTGTTTGCAGTATTGGGAATCAAACCTAAAGCCTAGTGCATGATAGGCAAGTGCTCCAAGATAGCCCTTTTCTTTTCTTTCTTTTTAAAATTTTAAGGCAGGATCTTGCTAAATTACCCAGGCTGGCCTCAGACTTGCAAACCCCCCACCCTCCCGCCTCATCCTCCGGGGTAACTGGGACTACAGGTGTGTGTTACCACATGCCGAGACCTAGTAACTCACGAAGAATAAACATTACTTAGTTCAGAGCTCAGGAGGCTGGAAGTCCAAGAGTGGGATTGGTGTCTGATGTGGACTTTCCTGCCACATCCTACATGCAGAGGATGTCACTGGCAAGACAGCAAGTATGCTGGAGAGGGCTTTCCTTACAGAGCCTCTCCTCAAGTAACCCATGATCTCTTAATTCACAAGCGAATAATCCACTCATCAAGGCAGAGCCCTCATGGCCCAGTCACCTCCCAACAATTCCACCTTCAATACAGAACACAAGGGCTGGGGATCTAGCTCAGTGGTTCCAGTGTCTGCTTTCCAAGCACAAGGACCTGAGTTCGATCCCCAGTACCAAAAAACAAAAAAAAACAAAAAAAACAAAAAAAAATTTTTTTTTTTCCGAACTCAGGAATTTGCGCTTGCGAGGCAGGCCCGGTGCCACTGAGCTAAATTCCTAGCACACGTATGATTTCTTATACATTCAGACCATAGCAGATTGCAATCCTTTCTTCCATTTTCACTCAGTATATTGCCAAATCAGTGGGCACTGTTCTTGCCCCATACTTTGAAAATATGATTGGGGGGTGGGGCCTGGCTTGGTGGTACAGTGTGTGTGGACTGTACACAAGGCCCTGAGTGTGACCCACAGCACGGGAAAGGAAGGAAGATGTGAAGCAGGCTTTTCGCCTGGTGACAGCGAGAGCCGCCCTGCAGGTGTGTGTTTAAAGGACGCAGTATGGAGCTGGGGATGAGGCCCCAGGGGCCGTGCTTGCCTCTCACACGTGATGCCTGGGTCCCATCCTCAAAGAAGGCAGAGACACCTTTTACTTCCATTTGTTTTAGAATGTCAGAAACCGCAGTGAGAGCTCTTGCATGTTTGAAACTGAAAAGTAGCCAAAAGCTTTCATTCTGAAAGCCTCAGCATCACCGGGAATCTAAGCCCAGGCCCCTTGGTAGTGTTGAGCAGAAGGACTGTAGGACATTTAAGGGCTCACATCTTTTCATTTTCTTTGGGAAAGAGCTCATAAACTGAATGGAATTTACAAAAATTTACTTTGCCCAAATACACAGACAGATGGGCAAAGTCTCCTTTGTATTTGGACAAGATATCATCAATGTTCTTTTGTTTTATATTTTATTTCCTACTATTTCATTAAAAGCATCACAGAAAAGAATTTTAAAACAATCTGAAACCCTATTTCTCAAATCAAAGCACTTAAACAGCACTGGGAACTTTTCTTTCTCCTTTTTTAAATTGAAACAGGGTCTTGCCACGTAGTGCAGGCTGGCCTCGGCCGCCCAGGTGCTGGAGTACAGGTGTGCACCACCACACCTGGCAGTAAGGGAACATTTTGTTGCAGTGATTTGCGGCAGCTCTTGGTAAATTGTCAAGACTGGTGGGTCTGACAGACTCAGCTCTGGGCTGTGAAGGACCACACAGCTGCCATCAGAATTTCTCCTTTTGTTCACACACAGGATATTTCAGTTACAGCCTTTGAAAGAAGAAATGTGACTTAACTTTTCATAGGACACTCAAGGGACAATACCAACATGCGAGTTCCCTGACGTGGCTTGTTCAAGCTAATTCAGTGGCCAGTCGTTTCAACTAAAATTGGGATCTTTGGAGGAGACAACACGTTTTGATTTTAATTTAGAAATATTTGCCTGCCTCATTGGGCACTTGTGAGACTCGGACTCACATCTCTTTCTCAAACGCCCAACCCCAAATTCTTTTTTTTTTCTGGTACTGGGGATTGAACTGAGGACCTTGTGCTTGCCAGGCAGGCATGGTGCCACTGAGCTAAATCCCCAGGCCTCTTTTTTGAGACAGGGTCTCACTATGTATTCCGGGCTAGCATTGAGCTCATGGCAGTCATCACGCCTCAGCCTCCCAAGTGTTGAGATTATAGGCAGGCACCACCACACCAGGCTCCAAATTATTGTCTGCATGTCGTGCAGTATGCTGTCTTGATTTTTTTAATAACATAAGTATTTTTATTATCATCCTATACATATATACTATATATGCAATTTCTTATCCTTGGACTTTTATTTTACTGTTTTCTTTTCTTTTTCTTTTTTTTTGTGGTATGTTGGATCAAACTCAGGACCTTGCGCTTGCCAGCCAGGCATGGCCTTGCTGAGCTACATCCCCAGCCCTTCTGACTTGATCTTTATCTCAGGTGTATGGGTTATTCAACTCTCACTGAAGTAACGGGGTCCGTTAGCCTTGCAAAGGACCATTATAGTTATTATCATTTTCATTGTCTTAACTCTTAAAAGGCATGGTTCCAATTAAACCATCGATACAAGGCACCACAATGAAGCCACAGGCGAGTGGATGTTTGTGCTCAAGTGGCACCGTTCAGAGTGATGCAACAACGGGTGACCCATGACTGTGATTACAAATCGTGGTTATGGTCACTGGCACAGAGACCAAGAGAGATGCAGGGAGGTGCTGTGCCACCTGGTACTGAAACGAGTGTTGCTCTCCAACTCTATTTCGGGTATTGCCATTTCAGGCTTTGTATTTTTTTTTTTTCCTAGCCTTCTGCATTCATCACTGAAATCCAGGAATTTCTCAACCTAGGAAATAGTTTGCAAGATCCAAAGATGTAAGTACTAAAATCGGGACAGTCTCAGACACACTGGGAGGGCTGGTCACTTTAACACACTCATCAAGTCAGAAGTAATGTCTTAATAAAAATCAGTTACATCTCTGTACACTAACAACACAAAACAACAAATTCAAGTCTTTGAAATGCCACTTACAAAAGCATTATTAAAACATTAAATGAGAAAGGATAAACTACCAAACATTGCTGAAAGAAATGAATAAATAAAGACCTGAATGGAAACGCCACGCGGGTGCAGCAGAGGATGTGACACTAAGATGTGTCCTTTCTCCGGATTGTTTTATAGACTCAACTCAATGAGGATAAAAATCTCAGCATTTTTTTGTAGAAACTGATAATCTGATTCTAAAATGTATACATAGAAAGGATCTGATACCAAAACCAGAGTTTACAACAAAAAACTATAATATGTTTGATGAACATGCAGAACTCCTTAATTAAATACTCACAAACCAAATTCAGCAACACATTACAAAAGATTACACACTATGATCAAGGCAGTCTCATTCCGGGAAAGCAAGGATGGCTAAAAATATGCAAAAATTAACAAGCATGAAACATGATACAAACAAAAAAAAATTACACAATGAAAAAGCCTTTGACAAAATTCAACATCCCTTCATGGTAAAAGCCCTGAAGAAACCAGGTACTGAAGGATCATACCTCAACATAGGAAAGGCCATATATGGCAAACCCACAGCCAATATTATTTTAAATGCGGAAAAAGTGAAAGCATTTCTCTAAAATTAGGAACCATGCAAGTATATCCACTACCACTCAATATAGTACTTAACATTTTAGGGCAACTAAGCAACAGAAATTAAAGGGATACAAATAGGAAAAGTAGAAGTCCAATGACCCTTATTTATAGATGATGTAATCCTATGCTTAGAAGACCCTACACACTCTACCAAAATACTTTAAAAGCTTGTAAATGAAGCCAGCAAAATAGCAGGAAATAAAATCAACATTTAAAAACCAGTAGCTTTTGTATATACAAATAACAAAGTACCCAAGAAAGCAATCAGGAAAACAATACCATTCAAAAAGCAGTGTGAGCCGGGCGTGGTAGAGCAGCCTGGGCTGGCCTTGAACTCATTATGAAATCAAGGCTGGCCTCAAATTTGAGGCTATCCTCCTGCTTCAGTCTCCAAAGTGCTGGAATTATAGGTGTGAGCAGGAGGTTACATTTCACCAGGGAGTTTAAATTTCAGAACACTAAAGAAAGAAATTGAAGAAGACAAAAGAAGATGGAAAGACCTCCCATGTGCATGGATCAGCAGATGACTTGTTAAAATGGTCTACAAAGTCAATGTAGTCCCTATCCAGATACCAGTGATATTCTTCATAGAACTAGAAAAAAAGACCTTGAAACTCAAATGGAAACCCCAAAGACCCAAAATAGCCAAAGCAATCTGGAGGGACCAGATACCTGATTTCAAATTATACACAAAGCCATAGTAAGAAAAACAACATGGTACTGGCACAATGGAATAGCACACAGGGAACAGAAACAAACCAATGAAACTATAGCCATTTGGTTCTTGACAAAGGAGCCAAAAATATGTCGGACAAAAGACAGCCACTTTAATAAATGGTGCTGGGAAAACTGGATACCCACATGTAGAAGACTGAAACTAGATCCCAGTCTCTCACCCTGTAATAAAGGAAATTCATAATGGCTCAAAGACCTAGGTATAAGACCTGAAACTTTGAAATTGCTAAAAGGAAACACTTGAAGCCATAGGCACAGGTAAAGGCTTCCTGAAGTGGACTCCAATAGCACAGAATAATCAAGAATCAACAAATGGACCTACATCAAATCTAAAGTTTCTGTACAGCAAAGGAAACAGCTAACAGTGTGAGGAGAAAGCCTAGACAATGGGAGAAAATCTTTACCATCTACTCTTCTGACAGAGGATTAATATGTAGACTGCATAAGGAATTCACAAACTCAAAGAGCCCACCAGTAAATGGGAAAATGACTTGAATAGATACTTCTCAAAAGAAGTACAGGTGGCCAATAAGTGCATGAAAAATTGTTCACAACATCTGTAGTCAGAACTACAGGAAGATGGTTATCACCGATAATACAAAAAATAACCAATGTGTTTGTAAAGGAACTCTTACACTGCCATGTAACTCTTTTCATCTTTTACAGTCTCTATGGAAATCAGTATGAACTTTCCTAAAAAAAAAACCAAACTAAAAACAATGCAACTGTTCAGTCCATCTAAAGGAATTCGAGTCACCACACCAGTGACACCTGCACACCCGTGTGCACTGTGGCACAGTTCACAGTAGCCCAGGGTGAATGGATAAGGAAGGGTGTATATATACACAATGCAGTGTATTCAGCCAGAAAGAAGAGTGATGCTTTGTTATCTGCGAAAGAATAGATGGGACTGGGGGTCATCTTGTTAAGCAAAGTAAGCCAGACTCAGAAAGACTAGCATAATAATTCTCCATAATTACAATTAGTATAAATAGTTCTCCCTAATATATGGAATTCCTAAAACAACGACATGAAAGTAGAAAGGAGACTGTTATTAAACAAGAGGAAGGGAGTCGGGGAGAGCAGGGGATAGCAAGGAGGGAGGGACGAGGAAAAGGAAGGGGTCATAGGAACGGGCAGAATCGGAACAGACACATTGAGGCCAAACATTTTGTAAAAGTCATGGGCACTAATAATAAAAAAAGAAAAACTAAGAACGAAAAAGAAATGACCTAGAGTCGGCAAAGCAATTTTGAAAAAGAAGAAAAAAATTAGAGGACTTGCATCACCTGATGTCATGACCTGAGTCTTGTAACAGCAGTTCGGCCATTAAGAGTGGTGTCGGGATAAGGATGGGCAGAGCCCAGACGGGGTCCGCGCAGGCGGGTTGGTTTCTGATGAATGGCCACGGCAATTCAGTGTGGAAAAGGAGAGCGTCTGCCACAATTGGGTATCTATATGAAAAAAAAAGCTTGCCCTCCACCTCACAGTGTATGCAAAACAGTAATAAATTCAAAACGAGTCTGAGATCTAAATGTAAGAGCTAAAACCATACAGCTTCTAAGTGAAAATGCAAAGGAAAGCATTTGTGAGCTTGGATAAGGCAGATTTATTTGATAGCACACAAAAATATGAATTACAATAGAACATTTAGACAAGGACTTCATCAAAATTAAAAATATTTGCTCATCAAAAGCTACCATGAAAAGCCGGGAGTGGTAGCGCACGCCTGTAATCCCAGCACTCAGGAGGCTGAGGCAGGAGGATTGCTGTGAGTTCGAGACCCTACATAGCGAGTTCCAGGTCAGTCTCAACTACATAGTGAGACCCTGTCTCAAAAAAAACAAAGAAAAAAGAGCTACCATTAAGTAAAAAAGCACAAGCCAGAGATAGGAGAAGATGTTTGGAAAATATCTGTTAAAACATTTGTAACCTGAATCTATATAAATTCTTGACACTCAATAGTAAAAATATCAACTTAATAGACAAAAATAGGTCATAGATCTAAACAGCTGCTTTGCCAAAGATACACTGAATGGCAAAGTCTGCACATGAAAAAGTGATTAACATCATGAATGATGAAGCTGCAATGAGATACAACTGCACAACTGCTAGAATGGCTAAAACTAAAAACAGGACCAGTGGCCACACCAAATGCCACCGAGGACCCCAGCAATGGGGACACTCAGACACGATCGGTGGAGAGGCAAAATGATGCAGCCACTGGGAAAACAGTTTGACCTTCTTAAACTAAACTAAGTATGAACTCTCCACATGACTTAGCGGTCCCACTCCTGTTGCCATATGCACACACAGAAACCTGAACGTGAGTGGTCTGGCACCTCTCTCTCTCTCTCTCTCTCTCTTTCTCTCTCCTTTCTTTCTTGAGACAGGGTCTCACTGTGTAGTTGAGACTGACCTGGAACTCACCATGTAGCCCAGGATGGTCTCGAACTCACAGTGATCCTCCTGCCTCAGCCTCCCGAGTGCTGGGATTACAGGCGTGCGCCACCACACCCGGCCCATTAGCATCTCTTTATTTAATAAGAGCCAAGAACCAGTGAATGGATAACAAATTGTGGCACAGCCCATATGATGGAAACTATTACTCAGAAATAAAAGAGGGGAAAAACAAACTGCTCTTAAACAGGTCAACATGAGCGAGTGGAAGGAGCCAGTCTTGGGAGGCCGTCTGCTTGTAGAATTTCAGTGTATGCCATTCTCAAAAAGGCAAACTAGGAGGACAGAAATCAGAGCAGAGGGGCAGGGGGTGGAACCCAGGGGAATGTTTCCGGGTGACAGAAACACGCTGTATCAGGAAGGTGGTGAAACATGCATTTGTCATAACAAATGTACCTGTAGCCGGGCATGTAGCTCAGAAGTTCGGTGGCCTGCCTTAGAAATACACCTGGAAAAAAAAAATTTTTTTTTTTTTTTTGGTTTTTTGAGACAGGGTTTCACTGTATAGTTGAGACTGTCCTGGAACTCACTACGTAGCCCAGGCTGGTCTCAAACTTGAAGCGATCCTCCTGCCTCAGCCTCCCGAGTGCTGGGATTACAGGAGTGCACCTCCATGCCCTGTGGGAAGCCAGCCATGGCCCACTGGCTTTTTGAAAGATAACATTTGTTCCTTTTTAAGGACTGCACGTGTTAAGCTTGTTTTTGACCCTGCACGGGTGAAACTCGGACAGCCAAAGATCTGTAGGAGTCAGGTGCTTCCTGTTAAAGATCTGACCTTCTCTGTAGGAGTCAGGTGTTGTAACTCCATTTTGTTAAGTTCCTCCACCTATTTGGGAATCATGATTATTAGTTGCAAGTGTTGTTAATTTGTTTTTCTTGAGCCTGATTTCTCTTTCCCGTGTGAACCCT